AAACTATAATTAGACTATAGCTGGGGGAGGTAAGTCAGGATTCAATCTTGCCAAGGCCCCTTTACAGATGACTGAACTTGTCCCAGCTCTGACCTCTTCAAGCCTTCATTGCAATTGGTTAGAAATACTTTCCACTTGTCCTTAGTGATATTCCCTTGAGCAAAGGAAACCTTAAAGACTATTTTACTTCACTTTACTGCAAACAGATTGGGAGCTGAAAGTAGCTGCTTCAGGATCAAACAAGAATGCTGATTTGAAAGCTACCTCCAGTTTTCCTACATGGATATTCACAAAACAAAACTCTAATTCCTTGATGGTCCCCAGCTGTGTGAATAGTAATAATTTATTTATTTATTCAACTGCTAATATTTGACCAGCTATGTTGAGCATTTTTGTGAGAGACCCATCTGGAAACAACTGATTAACAGAATTCAGCCACTGATGCCAGTGAGAAATTTTAAACTGCTTTCCATTCCTTCTGAATTCTGCCCTCCATTAAGACTGGGGCTCAAGCAGATAAGTTTCTGATACCTGAAAATTTTTAGCAAACACACAGCCACCAACAACCAAGTTCTTGGGCTGCCCCAGAGAGGAAGTAGAGGAATAAACAAAAGAAGGCATAATTTTTTTTTCTGTATCTCTGTATGTACTGTTTCACCTTTACTTTCCAGGGGGGATTCTAGGGGAGACAGTGATTTAAAAACAAAGATTACCCACAGCTCTCTGACTGTTCTAAACAGCTAAAACTTAATACCATTCTTGAAAAGAAAGGACAAGGAAAACATCAAGTTTAAATAAAATAGGCATAAAGCAACAGAATTATGGTATTAGAATTTACTTAAATTCAAACATAGATCACTATGGCCATTGAACTGTACTTACACCAGAATGTAAGAAAAACTTGAGACACAGAGACCAATCATACATTCCTACACAGAGCACCATATTAAAAAGCCTTAATGGGTTCTCGAACATCTCTTGCCGAGTGAGGAAGTCATACTCAAAGAGCCTCTTGCAGCGCTGGAAGGTCAGCTCCTGGTATTTCTCACGGCACAAATCTTCTCCAGGATGATGTGCAAAGAGAGGATCATTTTCCAGAGCAGAGAAGATTCTGTTCTTGGAGGGGAAAAAACTGTCATGAGAATATTGACCTAAAATCATTAACAAAACCTGTTAACTTCCTTCTAGAGTAACACTGGGTCTCAAACTACAATTGTTTGCTGGAAGGCATAAACTTAAAAAGCAAGAATTCCAGAGAGTTTGAAATATATTTAAATTATCTGTCATACATACAGCTCATGCAGCTGAATTTTATGACATCTCCTTCACCATGAAGTAACTCACTCTGAATCTACAAGAACAGTATGGTAAAACTTAATTGCTTTGTGTAGCAGCTTCACTGTCTCAATATATGAAGGTGCTGGCAGAACCTAAGGGGCAAAAGTCCCTCAGCATGAGGATAAAGGTAAAACTCCAGGGTTACACTCAGTTAGAAACATGCCGTGATGATAAAACCATTAAGCTACCACAACTGCTCTGTTCCCAGATGAAAATTAAAAAAGGCTCCATTTAATGGAACCACCATATGCAGCCCTGCAATGTGGGGATGTGCATCTTTTAATATTGTAATTTGGATTCTTTTTGTCTTAGGTACTATATTATGGCTTTTTTTTTTTTATCCCAGACCTGTATCATCAAGATATCCACATCTTCTTGATTGTGTTTCATATAAGAAGGAAGAAACCCAGACTTCCTGTGCTTTCCTTTTAAAGGCAGTCATTCCCTTTCTCTGTGTAAACAACTCTAAATGCCCACACAGCTTTGAAACTCCTTCAGACACAGAACACTTGAGGGTTTTTCCCTGCTCTAACACACACCAGTCAGATGCAGAATCAGGCCTTCTTGATTTCTCTGATCTATCTGCTAGGATTCTTATAATCATGGTGAAGATTCAAGATTACTTAAACCTATGTAAATCTACACTACCTTCAGAAATGTAGTTCTTTCTCCTCCTATATCTCCAAGTCATGCATTTCCACACCATCTCTTGTGCTGCAGTTAATCTCTTTTCTTGGTAGGGTTAGATTTCAGCAAGGTTCACATGCTAATCTCCAATTGCAATGCCACATAAGCATTAATGCAAGCACAGAACATTGTAGGAAATTAGGCCAAAGTAAGACAGAAATACTGTTTGACAGTGGCTTGAAGCCCTGTATACACTTATAGCTCTGTATAAGTGCCTTGCAAAACCATGTGGTCTATGATTTAATGCAAACAGTAAAGAAATATGGTAGAATACAGCTATTTCTCAGTTTGAAATGAACACTCAAGTTCTGAAATGTAGCACCTGCTGGTCTCCCCTGTACTGATGTTCAGTAATTAAATGAGTCTTATGATGCAGCAGAGTAGATTGCTTAAAAATTCAGCTGTTCTAAAATTGGCTGTGCAAATCAAATTTCTTCATGCTCCTTATTTACAGATCATTATTAACTATACTCCCTTTAAAAAACCATACTTAGTTCTAATGATTTCTCCACAATTACAACATGCTTACAATTCTTGCAAAGTTTACCTTCAGCTGGATGGTATCCTCACCATCTATGAAGAGTGCCATCTCCTTCCAGTTGAAGGAAGCTTTCTTTCGATATCTGGAAAGCGGGCCTTTAGGGAAATCTGCTAGCAAATCATCCCGTGAACTTTGGCTGCCAGTCATTTCTTTCGGATTCATTGTTAGCTAAACTGCAGCAAACAAGAAAAGATAAAACACAAAATGAAGCACCACAGATGCCTGTTTTGTAATTACAAAAAGAAGTTAAAAGAGTTGTTTAATTTAATCCATGGACTAGTTTAAATGTATGAGTATAGTACTGCAGAGGCAACTAAAATCTTGTCCTTCCCTTTTTCTAATTCAGCTGGCTTGATATAAAGAAAAAAATGCCTTTGAGCCAATGTAAATGAATTACATAATCTTTGTTATTAAAATATGAGCTAAATATGAAACAGGGACACCACTGGTTATCACCCTATTGTGTGTTAAGAAAGGGGGTGATAAAAGACCCAGGTGAGAAAATACCATGTCTTAAACAACAAATGGAATAAGGCCCCACAAAGTCTGCTGGTAACTTTGTGTGCATCTATGGGGCAGGTGACAGCACTACAAAACTGCACAGGCCCCACAGGATTTCCCTGCCAGGAGGTACAACTGCACTGGTTTGGGAGAGAGAGAAGAATCTTGCCTTTCGTCAGAACCTGGCCCAAAGAAATAGAGGCTGATGCTCTGCTGCTTGCAGAGGCTGGGGTTGGAGAGCCCTCTGCAGCGGTCCCTGCCACCACACAGGGCAGAGATCTCTGCTCTGCCTGGAGGGTGCAAAACCATCGGACAGGGCAGCAGAAGCTGGCCACGATTTAACGGGACTGGCTGAAAGAAGCAACTCAAAGGTATAGGTAGGACATCCTGGCCCACGGCTCACTACAGACTTTGAACATAATGAAGTACAGAAACTACTTCAGCAGTCTGATTTTTCCACCCCTTTTCCCCCATCATCATCTTGGTATATCTTCTTAATACCTCACTTTTTTTTCAACCTTATCCTTTCATGGAGGTTATGCTCTAGTTCTGAACGGTACAAACACAGTAGAAGGGAACAACAGGATAGTATTTCTGCATGTGACTTTCAAATCAGTTCTAGAAAGAGGCAACTCCAGTACTGCACAACAGGTTCGGAAATAGAGAAAATCAAAAAAAAAAAAGGACACTGAGAAGCTGTTTCAACATCTAGCCAAATAAACAGATACTACACTTGTAATTGGAAAACAGGTAAATCAGGCAGCAGTTAGACAGGTAAATCAGGCAGCTTTTCACTCATAAAAGAGAAAAAAATTACACTGTAATATTGCAGCTATTGCATCTAACTGATTGACATTGCAAATCAGTGATATTACTCAAACGAGAAAACCTCATAAAGCGTTCTGTGCTTATCATAGATCACAAATTCTCTGACTTCACACAATGTTTCAATATAATTTGGCTCCAAGTCAACAGTTTCAAAACTAATTAAGAAATCAAAATAGGTGGTTGCAACAGGAAAGTAACAACGACCTGTCCTAAACATCAATGCTAATTTCAGCCTTCCTGTGAAATTTTGAAACGTGTGCGAGGGTGGAAGCAAAAACCACATGAATTTCAATGTGCAAAGAACTGATGCAGTTTCATTGTGACATGTTGAGCTGGAAACCTTTTTCCGTGCAAAGTGCTCCTGCTAGTAATTCAAATTCACAGCCGGGCACCAAAAACGGGTCAGAAATCACGAGGGCAAAGGACAGCTTGCAGGGTATTATCCACAACTATCTCATGTAATAATGACACAGCTCAGACACTGAGTTGTCAAGAATAATGACACTGTACCTTTATGGCTAAGAGATGACATAACCAGCGGTTTATTTTCTATTATATTCTATTTATATATTTTATGCATATATATATTTTTAATGAATTTATTTTATTTGCTATGTATATTCTATTTCCGAGCAATCTGCTGCTGGCAGTGGCCCAGGGCAGGACAGCCCCGGGCAGGGCAAAGGCAGCGCTCGAACCGCTGCTGTGCGGGTTCGCTTCCTTCTGCTCAGACCGGGCAAACCCAGACCACATAACTGCTGTTATTTGCTAAAAAAGCTGTACCGAGAAGTCTCCCTGATGGGCCGGGCTGACTGTCCTGTGTCAGCCGTCCCGGTCTGGAGTTTGCTCTGCGGAGGCGTTTTCACGCAGCTGTTCCGTGCCCGCTGTCACAGCGGCACAGACCTTCCCCAAACAGAGCAGCACATGCCGTGACGACCCTCCAGCCGAACGCTCTGCTAGGAGCTGCCGGCTTGTCAGCCCCAGGACGGCACCGCAGCAGCCTCTGGCGGCGCTTGCAGCTCAGACCCGCAGGCAGGGGCGAGGGGACCCGGTACGTACCTGCGGCCGCCGCCGTCTCCGCCTCGGGAACTGACGGGAGCAGCCTGCGACGCGCTCCGCCTCCTGGCGCGGCGGCGGCGGGCACTGGATGGGGCCGCTGGGGACGGCGGCCGTGCGGGACCCCGGCGGCGCCGCGCTGCCCCGCGGCTTCTGGGCGGCCGTGCGCGTGTGGCTGGAGAAGCCGCAGGTGGCCAACAGGCGACTGAGCGGCGCCGCGGTCCAGGCGGAGGGGACGGTGCCGCTCGGCGACAGCGGGGATATACCGCCATCCTTCGCTACCGCGGGGGCAGGCGGGGGCGGCGGCGGGCAGGAGCCGCGGCCGGCCCGCCGCGCCCCCCGCCCGGGAGCTGGTGCTGCAAGGTGAGCGGAGGCGGCGGGAGGCCGGGCCCGTCTCGGACCTGTCCCCTCAGAGATTGCCTCGCAAAGGAGAGCAATACCATTTTTTCTCCCCTGTTTGCGGGAACGAGGATGAACTTTTCTCCCTGTCGTGTGTTTAGGGTTTATTTTTACTTTTCGTTGTTGCACCAGGAAGCATTGAAATTTCAGCAGTTGAAATACAAGTTGCAGAGGCAGGGAGCTGTGACACTCAGGGGCTCCTGCCAGGAGCAAGAGCTGCCCACGCAAAGGCCGCTCGTAGCCAGGACCTGATGAGGGCTGGCCAGGAGTGACTGTGGTGTTGGGAAATGCGGAATGACTGAAGGGAGCAGGCAGCCGAGGCACCTGCCCGGCCAAGGAGAAGTGCTTGTGTCGGCTTTCTTAATGCTTGGCATTGCTTAAGAAATAATCTCAACTTGTTTTGTTGTTTGTTTTTTGTTGTTTTTTTTAAATTGTTGGTTTTGTGTCAGGTTTGGTTTGTTTTTGTTTTGCTTTGTGGTGCTTTTTTTACACTGTATGGTGGTAATACGCTGCAATAAGTCCTGCTAATATAAAGAAATTTACATAGGGTAGAACTTGACACCGTTTTCAAGATAAATTTAGGAAGAATGTTGATATGGATTAAATTCTAGTAGTAATGTTTTGGAAAGAATCAGAATTCCAGCTCGACTTACAATTCAGGAAGACTGGTAGTCATTTATGGGGTACACTTGGGATCTTCTTGAGGCCTTTGGTTCTTACCTGATGCCTTCAAAAAATTGGTGCCTTCAAAGAAAAAATTATATGTTCCAGTTTTGATTTTTTTTTGATGCTAAGAGAAAATGCTCCTGAGCTGCATCTATAGAATGTATCTCTAAGAAAAAGGCTAGGAGATTTTTTTAAATTATTTTTTTTTACAATTAAAATGTTAGAAGTGGGATGGCTAGGGATGGGATGAGATAGCAAGACTTAACATTTACTCTATTGCTAATTAATTCTTTCTTGTCTAACTCAGAAAATTTTGGAGTCCATTGAAAATTGATAAGGTAGCCAGTGTAGTGCTTTTGCTTGCAAGAACATTTGTTTTGATGGTAATTAAAAAAATATTTTCAAAACTGAGAGCTTAATAAACTATTCTGAAGAAGTCGCCCTGGGTAAACAACAGCTAAAAAGATTTTTTGTATTTTTAGAGGAAGTAATACTGCATATACACCTGCTTCCCAGGACTCTGGATTTGCTATGGGATATAGAAAAGCAGCAGTCATGTACAAGAAAAATGTTATTATTTCGTTTCTACTTTATTAAAATAGTTAGGTGTGAGGAAAGTGAATATATCTGGTCAGCCCTAGATATTTTGAAAGCATCATGCCATGGAATGCTAAATTTAGAGAATTCAAATAATCTGCTAGTTTCAGATGTCAGGAACACCAAGAAACAGATCTATTCCTGGCATTGTGGTCCTTTCTCTATTGCCTTGGCTCTTGCCTCACTGGTTTGCAGGCAGAAGTTCATGTTGGTATTAACCAGGGTGGGTTGCACTGTGAAATAATAAACTCTCATTTGCATATCTTTTCAGATGTTTACAATGGAACTGTGACCTTTCTGCCTTTGGAGGAAAACACTGAAGGAAAATACCTGGTTAAAAAGTGCAATATTTATCAAATTCAACTTAAGCACATAAAAGATGAGGAATGGTAAGTGTGGGAGTGAGACAGGAAGCAAGCATTAAGTTATTGCAAGAGTCACACAATGGTTTGGTATTGGTATGTAGGCAGTTTAGATTTTATAATTTTCTGCTTGATTAGTAAATTACAGTAGTGGTGTGATATGAGTGCACAGTGTTCTGTAAAAAGAAACATCTACAATACCCAGAATAATGTAAAACAAACCTGTTTCACCTCTGAATGTAAAAATTGACTGTACCTTTGTGTGGTATAGAAAAAATGTGCCTCTTCTGATCACGAGGATGCAGCAGTGCCTGTGAGAAAGGGTGAGGGTCAAAGCAGAGTTGCTGAGCTTTTATCATTGAAATGTAGACCATTCAGTGTGGTCCTGAGCATCTGGGGGTGCTCCAATAAAATCTGAATAAAGATAGAGATGATGAAATAATGAGATCTGATAATGGATGTATTTTTCTCTTAATTTTCCCTGTTATTTTTCAGAAGTTTGAAAAGTTGATTTTCACTGTTTAGTGTTTGGCTGTCTTGTAAAATCAGATTGCTCATCTGCGAGTCCTCATTTATTGTGTTAAATGCAGCATGGACTCTTATGTACTGTGTTTGAATTGAGAGGTAATGAGCTAACAAAATTCAGGGGAAACTATTCCATTTTTCAGTAATTTCACTGGTTTATTTTCCTATTGTTTCTCTAGATATTTACTTATTCTTCAGTCTGGTTTTATATCTCTGATCTACTGATTTTCTCCACTTCATCCTTGTTTTCTCTGTCCTTGAGATATCTGAAATGATGAAATGCTGTATTTATAATAAGTTATTTGTTTGTTTGTTTTTAAGGTCTATATCTGTTGTAGCTCCATTTCCAGAAGATTGGTTTTCAGATGGAATTGTGTACCCCAAACTAGCATGGCTTGGAAATGAACTTTTGTCCAAACTGGCTAAATGGTCTGTGGAGCAAAAGCCCAGTGAATTTAAAAATACACTCTCACTCATTTCAGTAGCAAAATACAGCAAGGTTTATCAGGACCTCAAAGAAAAGTACAAAGAGATGGTAAAGGTAAGTTTAGCAGTAAATGCAGTAATGTTATCCTTCCTTTTTTTTACTTTGTGTAATGAAGGTGCTTCTTTCAATAAATTCTTTTTTTTAAAAATAAAACAAGCAATTGAGTTATAACATATGTTTTTTGGTTTTGTGTTATATAGAGAATAAAACAGTTCAGTACTTGGAAGAACTTAATTGGAAAAGTAGGATTTAGAGCCAAATTCACAATAAATATTTGGAAGAATTAGGCATTTTCCAGGATGTATCACTTGTGATGAAGAGGAAGGAGTAGGTTAGTGGAAAGTCATCCACATTTTAGAAGGCATAAATACAACATCTCCTTCTCCAAAACCTTGGATACTATCTTAATATGTATTTGAGTTAGAGGAGCAGTGTTGTAAATTTTTTTCTTATCCTGGAGATCCTGAAGAGCAACAGAGTGCCATATGAAGTAAGGTCTGTATTCTTGCAAGCTTGGCTCTAGCTGCAAACAAAAAAAAATTGGTAAATGCTTTTGTAAAACATACAGTGAAAATGCTGAAAGGTTTTACTGTTAATATTTCTGTACTAACAGGAAGAAACAAAGGAGAGGACAGTTAGAGTTTTGGGTAAGGCAATGATTCAGTCTTTAGTTCTGCAGTAGAATTGCTGGTGTTGAACATTTCAGTCTTTGTTTCAATTCTTCATTTACAAAGTAACACTAGGTAATAATACTTGCACTTTCTGTCTTCCTACTTGAGATTTTGATTCTTCATGTTCTGTTGTGCCAGGGTAATTCTAGGTCTGTTCCCTTGTGAAAAGAAATTTGTAAATGTTCATATCCTCAGTGTTGCAGAGGACAGGAACATTTCAGTGTTGTAGATAAGTTTTTTTTTTGTTGTGAGAAAGTTAAACAAAAGATACATGGTCTGTTACAGAGCAGATGACAAATGTTCGTGTCCTCAGTGTTGCAGAGGACAGGATCATTTGTAAATTTGAGTGTTGTAGATAAGTTTGGTTTTTTTTGTGAGAAAGTTAAGCAAAAGATACATGGTCTGTTACAGAGCAGATGCAGCTGTTTATTTGTGACCTTGCACATGTGAAGCCAAAATGTTCTTTGAAACTTTATTGTTTGGTTGAGTCAAACAGTCTTTATATTCTCTGGGTATATTTTAATCAGGTTAAAATACAAAATCTGTGAAGTCCAGAAACCTACTGAAGTGAATAAGTATCCAAATTGCTGTGTCTGAGCATTTTTGAGGTTATTTCAGATGATGCAGAAAATAAATTGTTATCTATTAATTAATTTTGTTTTGTTTGGGTTTTTTTTTTTTTTCCTAAAATAAAGCATCTTGAATATTCATTCTGTTTTGTTTTGCCTTTTTTTTTTTTTTTTTCCTGAAGGTGTGGCCTGAAGTGACAGATCCTGAGAAATTTGTTTATGAAGATGTTGCCATTGCCACTTACTTGCTGGTAGGGAATTGTTTTACCTAATAATATGCTGTAAGGTTATATTTCCTAATAATAGAACCTCTCTAAAGAATATCATTTTAGAGGCAAACAAAAAGTTCTTTGTGAAGATATGATGAAGATTTGCAGTTTTCTCTCACAGGAAATTTATCATCTGCATACACAAGATTTATTTATTTCTAAGTGAGAAAGCCAAAGGCACTAATGTAGAAGTGATAAAATGGATCAATTTGAGATTAGGATTGATTGTTTTATAAATTTTTCTATTACTTGTTCATTTTATACTATGAACAAGTAAAAAGTTATGGTTTTTCACTGCTGTACATTTTCTTGATAAAATATCAGCTCAAATCCCATCTTCAAGTGTAATAAGGTCAACTGCATATGCTATGAGTGCAGATAAATGCTTGGTGCAGTTTTCTCACGCATTACCTGCTTTAAGATTCTATGAAAATTCTGCCACCTGCAGTTCTTAGAAACTTCAGGTTTTTAAAAACCAGGCACATATAAATATTTTTGGTTTCCATCCAGAGTGTGGTAAGAGCATGTCTACATTGAACTACACTTGTAGCATCTTACCTAAATCAGTATTTCTGAGTAAGTTAGCTTATTTACAGTACTCATTGAGAACTAATTTATTTTGTTAACTAAGTGTTTAACCTTTAGAACCTTAAATACTATCTTGTGGAAAGAGCTATGTAATAGACTCATCTTTACCATTTTTACCACTGTCTTAATATTCTGTGTTGAAAGTTAGGAATTTAGTTGTAACCAGAAGAAAATTCTGGAGTGATAGCATTTTTATACAAGTGACTGTTGGTTTACAGTGATTATGTTTTAGCTAATATAGCAGTAGTATTCAGAAAGTTATTAAAGTCATTCAATATGCAGCTTAAGTAATTGAAAACTTAAAGTATGGTATTTATAACCTAACCTGCTGCAAAATGTTCAGGTATCTGTATGATGGTGTATGAAAGTCATTGTTTAGAAGTACATTACACAGGTGATTAAGAAAAAGTAAGCCCAGTGTTAAGTTTTTATGGGTTAATGTCATCTGCATGTGACCTCATTTTATTTTCCAATCATATTGAAATCACCCACTGTCCCGGGGCGTGGCCAAGGACCTGGCTGTTGTGAAAAGCTCTGCAGGAATTGGAGGGATAGATAGGATCTGTGAAGGAGGTAATTAGGGATTTCTGGGATACTGCCTAGAGTGCCAAAATGCAATGATTGGTAAATCTAAAAACATAATCCACGAGATTAGCAGACTATGTTTATCTTCAGCTTCTTTCCTTCTGGCAAAACTGACAATGTTACAAATACTAATTTTCATAGTTAAGTACTGTTCAAGATTTTTGGTAGTCATAGTGAAAAATCTGAGTGCAGAGTTATAAATGTGTGGTCTCTAACTTCTGACTGAAGGAAAAAGTTGGAAAATTGTAAATGTTAATCCATGCTCTGCAGAGAAACAGCCACTTACTAATTATAGATTATATATCTGTGTAAAAGTACGTACTTAGGTACACATCAGGGACTGACTAGAATTCGGCTAAAAGCTTTGGGGTCCCTTAGCTGGTGTAGAATTTGGAGCAGATAACTTGCTAGGTAACACTGTTGGTTTGTTCACTAAAAGGGATGTTACATGTACCAGTCTATCACCAAGTGATTACAAAGAATATTTTGGGGTTTATTTTCAGCTCTGCCATCAATGCTTTCTTCAATACAGTGGATATAAATTCATCTGTGGTGTTACTTACAGAGACAATGGTGAAGTTTACTTGATACTTCCCTTGCTTTTCACTGTTCTTCTCTTGTAGCCATTGTTTAGCAACTTACTTTACATTTATGTTCATTCTAGCCCAGAGTTGTAAAGCCCTTATTAGTTTCTACTCCCAATTACTCAAAATGGAGTGGAGGATGTGCTTAGCACTTAGAAAACTATCGATATTTTACAAAATAATTCTTGTTTCACTTCATAAACAATGGTTTTCTGTTTTGGTTTTTTTGTTTGTTTTGGTTCGGTTTGGGTTTTTATAGATTTTCCTTTTTTTTCTCCCTGTGAGTGTAGTTAATGTTTTCTGTCAAATCTGCATTTCCAGGTTTCCTCTTTCATCTCCAACAACCTTTGATGGCTTCTTATAGGGAAACTTGAGAGCAGAAGTCTAATATGTTCTGTTTTCTTATCTTAGATTCTTTGGGAAGAAGAGAGAAAAGAAAAAGGGTTGACCAAGAAACAGTCATTTGTAGATCTTGGATGTGGAAATGGTTTGCTGGTTCATATTCTAAACAATGAAGGGGTAAATAGAATGCTTTTAAAAATAATTATTAAAAACTAGTGTCAGTATTCTTGTTGTGCTTTCCTTTTATCTGGCATGCAAATAGCCAAAATAGATTAATTCATGTTGCTAAAACAGGATTTTGTCACTCTAGTTACTAACAGAAAATCCTACCAGAGGATTAGACCATTAGTTTATTTATCTTAATTAGTGCATTTCATTTAAATTTGGGGCTATTTTTCCTCAGGTAAGAAACTAAGAGGAAGGAAAAAAAAGGTAACGGAGTACTTTAGTTATGCAAAAAGGAACGTAGAATTTTGATATAGGTTCTCTCTCACAAGATGTGTTCATGAACTTAATTTTATCCAAACTGAGTTCTACTTCTAGTGTCATAAAATGTTTTTCTATATCTTTCAAAACAGTAGTGAGATTTCTTAATTAAAAATGCCTAACAGCATGTACTTTTTGGAGTAAAAATGTGGCAACAGTATAATTCAGTTTGTTAAGGCATAGTTTCTGAAATAGCAATGAAAGAACAGTGAGACTAAACAAAACCCATTGACGTTGGGTCTGTCGGTTTCAGAAAATTTAATTTTCCACTTTGGGAGAACATGGGAAAATTTGGAGAGGAAATTGATATCTCTTATTAGATAAAGAGATGTCACCGGGGGAGTAGGGAAATGTTCCAAGTTCTCCCAGCACAAGGTTTCTATTCTTGTGTGGCCAGAAAACTTTTGTGTAACACTGCTGTTTTCTGTGTGAATTTTTCAATCAGTGAGTCATTCATTCAGTGCTGACAAACACTGACTGTCAAAAAAATCATGTATGAGAATTTTTGAGACTTTTTTTAGGAATCCATTTTTCTTAGTTTTGCACAAGGTTCTTGGATTTCAAATACTACACATTCTTCATTTCTTGCTTTAGTTTCCAGTCTGTTTCCTCTTCCCTTTAATTCAAACAGGGGAAAGTGTTTGGGTATCAGTATCTGAAAGGTGGCTCTCCACTAAGGACTGCTTAGAGTAGCATTTTTATTTGAGCCCTGTGGGCACTGCAGTAGTACTCAGCTTGTGAAAGGTTTTGATATTTTAAAAACAAACCAAAAATCAACGCCTCTGTTTTAACATTTGTAGAGATACAGATTTTTGAGAGCAGTCTCAGTAGGTGTGCCCAGGTAAAATTTTGAACCAGATATATTCTTCAGGTTTCTTAGTTATTCCCTTCATATTTCAAAAGGAAGAAAGGGAATAAAAGTATTCACCTGAAATGAAAAAGCTTGTTTTTGTTATTTGTCTAAATTTTAGCATGAATGAAATAATTGAAGTTCATGTGTACCTTTACTGAACCTATTTGAAATTTCTGAAAGAAGTAGTACTTAAATTGAATATTTTTGTTGTTCAAATATTTCAGTATCCAGGAAGAGGAATTGATGTGAGGAGAAGAAAAATATGGGACATGTATGGACCAGAGACGCATTTAGAGGTATTATGCAAATGTATGTCAGTCTTGCTGCTAAGTACATTTATTCATTTGTTCACTGTTTCAGCATGTATTGATGCAAGTGTAAGGAAGCATACTGATTACACACAGTTGTCTAAAGGGACCCATGGGTCTGTTATGCTACTACCCATACCACTTGGGGATGAAGAAAGTTGTAAAGGGAATTATGAGAAAAATATTGTATTGTACCCTTGCATATTTGCAACTTGCTTGTTTCTCAGTCAAGACCCACTGGCATGATTTCTTAGTGCATCTACAGATATGCACACCATGAAACAAACTTTCTTTTTACCAGATGATCAATATTAAGTAGCTTCATTTGCACCAGTAGTTCATAAAAGATAATAAAGCCACTCATAATTTGGGATAATTACTTGAAAGTGATTCTGACCTTCTAGTGCTATGTTCTGTTTTGGGAGAAAAATTGTTGTTGAACCTCAAAGGAGCCAACATAAATAATTGCAATAAAAGCCTTCAAAAATGAACAGGAAAATGAGTCTGCAAAAGAGATTATATTTCAAATTTCATGTTATCATTTTTATAAGCAATTTGAGCACAGGAACATTCACTTTGATTCCAAGAATTCTTAATATGATACTCATTAAAGAGTGGTGTCAGTGAGCAGCTGTCCTTCGGAGGTGAGGTGTTCCTGGTTTTTTGTTCTGGAGGGCTAAAATTTCTTACTCTCTTCTGTCAAAAAATTGTCAGCTCCCAATATAGTAAAATAATTTTCCACCTGTGGTTATTGTCTAGTAGTGTTGTTTAAAATTCATTCAACATATGAATTGTTCATTCAACAGTGAGGATGCTAACTCATTAAATTAGGAAAGAACCTCAATTTTCACAGATGGGAGGTCACAGATTTCAGTGTTGCCTTCTCTTTGCCACCCTGCTATTTTGGGTACAAGTTGCCAAAACTGCCATATTCCTTTACTGCAGTCTGCAAGCAGATCTTGCTGAAAAGCTTCAACAAACAGCCCAAAACATCAAGTTGTGGTGCTCCACCATTCCTGTTGTACTGTGTTAAGTCACATCTGATCACGATGAACAGCATTGTCTCTTTATCTTTGTGTTACATGTTCCTTTTTCTGCCATATTATATTCTGAAAGAATATATTATATTAGATATTCTGAAAGAAAAAATTATATGCTGAAGCAAGTGATTATTTATGCTGGAAGGAGTTAGGCAGTGAACAGGAAGGGTGAAATGATTTTGCAAGGCTCCTGTAGCCATAGGAGCCACAGAAGGAAAAAGCACCTGCTCACAGCCTGTTGTTACCCCTGAAGATAATTTTGTTTTGATCTTTACTTAGAGCACAGGTTGCAGGGTAGATGTTGCCACCTGTGTCATTCAGTACAGTTCTGACAACCTAAATGGGTGTAACAGGTGGCACTCTGTGTTTCCAAACTGCTGTCAAGACATGGTGAATACAAATTTGATTAGGGGTAACTGTCGAAATCAGCAGTGGGCTACTGATAATTCATGCTATGCCTGAATTATTGAATGATCAAAACTGAAATGTAAAGTATGAGTAACGTGTTTAATCAACCTTAAGAAAACACTTAGAAAAGGCTTGGTAATTTAACATCCAGTAATCTGCAAAAAAATACTTGTTGCATTCATTATCTAGAAATGTTTATACATGTCTAAAAATGAGCTGTAGTATTTAACATATCTTTTCTATATAAAAAGAGATTATGGGTGTCATTTCCTGAGCTTTTCCTAAAGGAATGTGGAAATTGAAATCTAAAACTTTTTCTGAATTTGCCCAATAATTCTTTTAATGTTCATACATATTTTCAGGGAAGAGTGTCTGCTTGCATGGTATCAACATCTTTCTCTGCTGAACTTATCTCAAAGTGAGAAAATGTATTTGTGAGGCACAAACATTACAGCCACTGTAGAACATTTGAATTTAGCCTGGATGAAGAATTTATCCTCTTGGTTTTATTTGGGGTTTCTTTTGTTTGTTAGTGTTTTATTACATGTGAATAATAGCATGTGAAGAGTGGTGTATTGTATGCTAGGATTTGATTTGGGCAGCATCTGTGAAGGAGGAGAAAATAACAACGAAGCTGTGTTCTGATTAATTGCTGTATGAGACCTGCTGGCTACAAGACAGCAAATTAAGTGCCTTTCTGAAAAACTGAGTTCAGGCATACAAGTGACAGAAGGAGATTAGCAAGAAATCATAATTTAGTGTATGATATTTGTTTATATATATTTAAATGCTAGATATCTTAATCAGAGTTGCTGTTGTACTGTTTTTCTGACCCATGTTTTGTGGGTGTTTTTTGCTTAATTACTTCTCTGTACCTATAAAAATTTGCTAACTGAGGAAAATGTTGGTGTCTGTGGTGCTCACTCACCTTGTATTTGTCAGCTGGTATTACTTTATATTATTACTTAGTGCTTTAAATAAAATGCTTTAAAGAAACCTGTAATAGGATTCACTTGCTGTTGTGAACAACTTGTTCTGTTTTTCAGGAAGCTACAATCATTCCAGGTGACACTCATCTCTTTCCAGACACTGACTGGCTCATAGGAAACCATTCAGATGAATTAACACCATGGATACCTGTAATTGCAGCTAGGTATTTTTGCAGAGGAGGGGAGTGGGATGGAAGGAATTAAAAGAAAAAAAGGTAGAAAAAACACAAACAACCCCCCCATAATTACCCATGTAGGCTTGATTAAAAACTGTCAGCTTTGGTTCCACACCTGTTGTTTTTTTAAGACTGGCTTTTTTTGATGCAAGTTGATTATTTTTACAAAGTGTTTCTCTCTGTGGAGAAGCACTGATGCAGTATTTGCTTTCTTGTAGAATGTAGTGCAGCATTTTGCTTTTGAAATTCAAAAACCAAAACTGTTTTTTATTCCTTATATGTGAAGCTATTTGGTTTTTTTGCTGGTTTTTCTTCTTGCAAATACAAGCTTATGGTTCTGCCTTCTGTTGAGCTTTTGTGCTCTTTACAACCAGCAACAGTAATTTAGAGTTTTATTTCTGCAAACTAAGTTGGCAGAGTAGGTTGCTACATCAAATACTTTGTGAAATGGTATTTTTTGACTAAATTAATAATTTGATTGAAAAAGGGAGTTATAGATATTATTGCGTGAAGCTGTGTAGTTTAATAAAAATTACATTGTTGCTTTTATGTGGTAGGTTGTTTGTTAAATTTTTGTGTTTTCTGAAATAACTTACTGTTCAGCAGTTTCTTATCCTTCTTGTAGGTCTTCCTATTCATGTTGTTACTTTGTGCTGCCATGCTGCTTCTTTGATTTCCATGGAAAATACAGCCGAAGACAAAGCAAGAAAACTCAGTACAGAGAATATCTTGATTTTGTTGCCCAGGTGGGATTTGTATGTGGCTTTCATGTGGAAGAAGATTGCCTTAGAATTCCGTCAACAAAAAGGGTAATTTTGGCCTCTGTAGGGCTTTCGTCTTTTATTTTTTTAATCTGTTCTGTTTGAAGCATATGGATGTTTGTTCATTGTTATTGTTGTAAGATAAGACTATAGTCAGCTTCATTACTTGATACAGCATGCTCTGAAAAGAGATTAATAATACTCATTGTTTTCTTGGGAATTCTGCTCTTAATGTTATAGGTATAGTCCCTATTAAAAAAAACCCAAAAAACAACAACAAAAAAACCCCTCCCCCCAAAAAAACCAGGAAAAAATGAAGCATTTCATTATTTTCTCTTATGTCAGTCTACCTCCCCCAAAAAAAAACCAGGAAAAAATGAAGCATTTCATTATTTTCTCTTATGTCAGTCTACATGATGGAAAACTTATAAAAACCTTAATTTTTCTAGCTGCCTGTCTTACTTTTTTGTACTTCATTTTGCTGTTTTTCTTGTCTAGTGAAATTTAGAGTGAAATGTTCTGAGCAGGAAGAGGTGTCCAGCTTTAAATAATCTGAGGGTCAGGAGCAGTATTTTTGGTGTGTGATTGTATAGCATGATGGATTATGATTTGTTTACTGTATTTCTTCTGGGGCACCAATATTCAAAGACTGGAATTAAAAACCCCTCAGATGTTACTGAGCATTGAGTTGATACTGGATTTTATTGTAGGTATTGAGAAGCCTGCATGAACATGTGGAGGTTGTGGGGCTGGGTGGAAGTACAGGACTCTGATAGTGATTTACTTGTTTCTGCCAACACAGGTCAGCTTTGTTGGGAAAAGCAGGACCTATCCAGCTGCAGAAGGTGCTCTGATTGACAAGCAGATAACACAGTTCATTAACAGCCGTCGGACCTGTGCTGTGGCCACGTGTGACAGAAGGGTTGGGTTTAACCATGAGCATCACTGTGGTGGTCTGTGCAAAGAGGCAGGCTCAGAGCCTCCTGAAGATGAGACTCAGACAGCTGGTACGACTTGGATGCCTGGATTTCAACCCAGAGAAAAAGTAGAGCAAGTCAGAAATTGTGCTTCCCTCCCTCGGGACTTTGTAGATGAAGTGGTTCTCAATGTGGCAAACTTGCTGTTAAGTGCAGCCCCCCAGAAATCATGTTCTGATGAGCAGGGTGGAAATATGAACACCTGGAATCAAGGAGGTGAGGTTGTCTTTCCTTTACACTATCTTTAGCTGATAGAACATGTATTTTCCACCAAGTTTACATGTTTGTGAACAGATTTTTAGGAAACACTGAGAACAATACAGTCTCAATCAGAGGTGCTTTTTTTCCCCACTACATTTTGTTGCATGTAGATGAATATTTTGAAATTGGTGTGAGTTTTTTTCGTGGTTTACACTTAAATACTATTATATAATCGATTTTTATTAAACCAAACCTAACTAAACCCACAACTCCACCCTGTTTGGGGAGAATATTATGGTTTAGGATATTAACATAATAATTAGCTATACTTTTTTAAGAGTTTGTAAGAAGTCCTCTGAAATGCCATTAGGTTAAAACAGGATTAGGAATTTTTAGATTAATTCTAGGAACAAAAAGAATGTTAAGCTGCTGTTAATTGTATAAGCAGTCAGTTCTCACTATTACCATCTTTCCATTTTCTTCCATCTGTTTTTATTATTTACTCACTGTAGTTTGTCATATGTTACTGACTTCTAACTACATGCTTATAAACAGCGCTTATTGCAACGAGGGTTACATGCTACTGTAAAAAAAGCAGAGCAAATAAAAAGTGTGTCTTACTGTGGAAATTCTGACCTGAGTCCTGTAAAATCAAAGCTGCTGTTTTACAGACAATATGCATATAAAATATATACCATACATCATATTGTAAGAAAAAAGTTGCTTCAGTCCTGGTAGATAATTCTGACATTCTGCTCTTAATCATTACCTTATATAGAAGTTGAATTGTGGTAAGGTTTTATAGAGAAAAGTTTCTAATAATTCTACCATTTTTTTATTGCAGAAAGTCTTTCCTTGAGAGAAGTGGCAGAACACTTGGATAAAGAGATTTTAAAAAAGCTGAAAAGTGAATATGGAGGCCTGCAGACGCTACTCAAGAACAATCATCAAGTATTTGAAGGTAAAGGAGTTTTGAGGTTTTTTCTCCTTAATTATTTATCTCCTCTATATGTAGTTAAGCTTAACTGAAAAATTACTATGGTGGTGGTTTTTTAACTGCTTTTTGTATCTTTCTAGAAAACTGAATATTCTTTATGTGCCCATTGCTCCAAGATATTGTTAGTAAAGCTCTTAGGAATTGAGATTGGTAAGGCAGCTATCAGCAAAATGTTCTACACTGCCTGTATCTGAAAAGACAAACCTTTAGTTTAAGTGGCTGATTTTATGCTATTCTTTGGCCTTTTATTTTTGTTTCTTCCTATGAAATATTGATGGTTTTGAGGCTGTCAAATACAGAGCAATTTTACTAAAGCATTTAGCTGAGGCTTAGTCTGACCACACCAAGCCCTAAAGTGTAAATGCTGATATGAAATAAAATTAGCCTCCTTAAGAACCTATAATTGTGAGACTTGATGTGTTTATAAAGCTTGTGTTTGTGTAGCTTGTGGTAGAAACAACTCAGTAGCAAATCTCCATGGCTGGCTGGGTTTGTTGATAGCAGTTTTTTGAGTTTGGCTTTTTTTTTCCCCGTTGTAATCTGTGGTGACAGTGTGCTTTGTGTAATTTGAGTTTTTTTGTCAGTGTGAAGTTTTACAAAACTAAAATGTAGGTTTGCAGTAATACGAGATCTTCAAGGTTTTAACATTATTAAAGCTGCTTCAAATTTCAAAGTGTGTTATGTCCTAACAGTTCTATGCCTCCTGTAAAATACTGCTCAACTAATCCATGGCAAGTAATCCTGAGTATGCAACCTGTTTGTTGCCAGTGGTCAACACAAGCAAGTTTAGCATCCACTAAATATTTGTGTATACTTGGCTGATAAAATCCTCCTGAATTACGATCCATTAAAAAGAGTTGGTCACATGGAGATTTGTGCATGTCTGAATTTGGTTCCCTGTCATTAGGAATAGCTGAAATAGGTTTTGCAATGTGTTGCATTGTAAATGGAATGAGCATTTTAAATTGGCTGGGAGGCTGTGTGCACATTACCTATGAAGAAAGGTTTGACTTAATCCTAGTCTGTCCCAGTAACTTATATCACAGGGCCTGGGGAGAGACCATGTGATTCCTCCCTCAGTAGGATGTCACCATAACAAGAAATTTCTGCTGGTCTCCAAGGACATTGCTCCTGCCCAGGAGGACAGAGAAGAACATAGCTACAGCTCTTTTGTCATCTTTACTGATTTTTTTTTTCTTTTAGTATGTGGAAATGGATGTATGTACACACACACACCAAACAGAAAGTGGATCTTAGAATAACTGAGCAGTGGCAATTTCTTTAGATTGGGTGATTTTCTAGGGAAAAATCATGTTTGATAATAAATAGCTGCTGATTTTTCTTCGTCTTTTGTGAGGGATTTTAAAGCTCAGCTGAAATTGCTTCTTGATTGGCTTAGTATGAGTTCAGATATGTCTGTGTGCCACAAGGAAACCTGGAGACATTAATTCATCCAGGGCAGACTGTGTGATACTCAGCTTTCACTGGACTTGTAACTTTTTGTATAGCAATGATCAGGATGCAGAAAGGTATTGGTTAACTTTCCCAAGCTACAAGTGTCTGAGGCAGAAGGTGTTATTGAAGCAGAATATGAAAATAGACCATGGCAACTTAAAGGTGGCAGATTCTTCCCTCTTCATTTTCACTGTAGTTTGTAGTCTGTTTTTTATTTCTTTCATCATTTTTTTCTTCTTTCCTTTCATCTGTTTTGTTTGCTCATGAAAGGAGTTGACAGAGATTCACAAGTGTGTGCATGTGCAGTTTAAGTGGCAGATTCTTCCCTCTTCATTTTCAGTGTTGTTTGTAGACTCTTTTTTATCTTCCCCTCTGGCTAACTTCCTTTCATCTATTTTGTGTACTCATGTAAGGAGTTGACAGAGATTCACAAGTGTGTGCATGTGCAGTTTATGGTCCTAACAGAGTAAATGAATTTGAAAAACCCAAAGTGCTGAATCCTTGTTAACCAATGATAACTCAGTGTTGGTTCACATGAAGGATTAGACTTGTCATCTCCTTGGTGCATTGTGTTTTTGGGTCAGTGAACTGTGAAAGTAGTAGAAGAAAATGTGTTGGTAATCACATTTTAGATGTGGAATCATAAAGTTACAAACATGGGAAGAATTACAGTTTTTGAAGTTGAAACTTCTTTTGTTAGAACATGCAATCTAAGTTCAGATGATTTTAGTCTGCTACATTTAAAATGGACTAACAAACCTCGACAAAGATGATGTAAAAGTGCCTCAAACTGTTCAGCATCCCAGTGAAACATCTCTCAGGGAAATCAATCAAGTCTTCTTTTTACTGTGTCTACATTGTCTTTGTAGTGGTTTGTTGTGTACTTCTTTCCATTTCTGTACAAATGGCTCAGGTGGTTTTGCCTGAGTGATCCATTTGTAGAATGTTTTTTGTTCACAGAATGTCACTACAGTTTTTCCCAGTATAATTTCCATGGATGTCTATTAACAGCTGCATTTTTGTTTGTTTTTAAATCTTAGTTCTGAATGGGAGAGTTCATATTCGTGACTGGAGAAAAGAGAAACCACCAAGTAAAACTAAACCTGAAGTGAAACGACGCCTTTCAGCTGAAGCATTTAAAACACGCCTCTGTTGGTTTTTCATTCATCATCCTGATGGTTGTTCTTTACCTTCTGAAGCTTGCCCATATGCCCATGGGACTGAGGAGCTAAGGCAGTCTCAAATGATTAAAAAGAAAAAACATATACAGTAATAAAATGTTGCAACTTGTGTTTAGGTTTATGTGCATAACAGAATCTATGACTGACTTTGGGACTGCCTAGTGTGTGAACACCTGTACAAATGGAGGGATTTTCCTCTTTTCTGTGCATCTTATTTTGCAGTTGGTTTACAAGTTCTCCTGTATTTCTAATTCTTTATTTTTTTATGAACAAGTAATAGGTATAGTAAAGTACATGTATATTTTTGGATTTGTCACAGCTTGTCTAGCATACATTTGTATAACTAGAAAAGTTTAAAAACTTAATTTCCTGGGACACTACTCATGATTCTTAATCAGATCAAAAGTACACATGCACCATTTTCATACCCTGAAAATTAGCCTGTTTTGTTCCACATTTTCAAAGAGTGTAAAGGAGACCTCTGTCCAGCCATCCATATGCCACTCTGGCAGCCACACCTGCAGCACCTGAGCTGGGGCTGAAGCCCCTTCACAGCAGGCAGCTCCAGTGAGCCCAGGGTTGCCCTGCTTGTCTCCCTACACCCCCCACACTCACACAGTCAGACAAGGATTCTTTTATTCCCTGGCCCCAGCATTCCCATACAAGTCTCACGTGTCTCAATCCTGAAAATAATTTGAATTTGGTGCAACATCAAAATAACAGCTCAAGCTGCTGCCTTTGATGAGGGACCTTGTATAAAGGAACTCCTGGGCTTTTGTACCCTTCACAGGCCCAGCACACAAAGTCTGGGGCTCCTCAGCTCCTGCCTCATACAAAGGAACTCCTGGGCTTTTATACCCTCGCAGGCCCAGCACACAAAGTCTGGGGCTCCTCAGCTCCTGCCTCATCTCTGTGTGTCCAGTGCTGCCACAGGACACACACAAAGTCTGGGGCTCCTCAGCTCCTGCCTCATCTCTGTGTGTCCAGTGCTGCCCCAGGTCCCCAGGCCCTTTCCTATGGGAAGGGTGGCATTTCTCAGCCTCTTAGCTGGGGCTCCTGCCATTCAGAGCTCAACCTGCAGCTCTCACTACAGCTCCTGCACTTGCTACCTGCACTGAATGTGTTCCTCAGCTTGTAAATTTATGGCTCACAGTGGTTCTTGGGAGTCTTGGAGTCAGAATACAGAGATTTCACTCTTTCCTGGCTTGATCGCTTCCTTTCCATGTTACTATTACTATATAATGCCCTTCATAGTCCTTGCCTTGCATTTTATTTTGAATCAAAGTAATTGGTTTGCAACAATAGCTTTCTGGGAAATTACTGTGGAAACCTTCAGGTAGAGGCGTAGGTTTTAGGGGTTTGTAGGCCATATTGTCATAGATTCTTAGAAGGAGTTGTGTTGGAAGAAACCTTAAAGATCATCCAGTTCCAACTCCCCTGCCATGGACAGGGACATCTTTCACTAGATCAGATTCCTCAAAGCCTTGTCCAACCTGGTCTTTTCTTATTTTCAAAGTATGAAGTAAAAGTAGAAAATCTGTTTAATAATATTAGGATGATGGGGTTTCTGTGTTAGATAACAAAGGAATGTTTAGCACCTTGAGCAACTTCTAGCACCTTTGGTAGACTTTTGTATTCTTGAAAAGGTTTAACTTTTAAATGCACATCCTAAGAAGAATAATGAAGGTGTAGAGAACATGTCCTGTGAGGAGCAACTCAGGAAAAGGACTGTGAAAAAGAAGCTCTGAGGGCTCTTACTACTCTCTACAACCTGAACCTTAAAGCCTCGTCCAACCTGGTGTTTTCTTATTTTCAAAGTATGAAGTAAAAGTAGAAAATCTGTTTAATAATATTAGGATGATGGGGTTTCTGTGTCAGATAACAAAGGAATGTTTAGCACCTTGAGCAACTTCTAGCACCTTTGGTAGACTTTTATTTTCTTGAAAAGGTTTAACTTTTAAATGCACATCCTAAGAAGAATAATGAAGGTGTAGAGAACATGTCCTGTGAGGAGCAACTCAGGAAAAGGACTGTGAAAAAGAAGCTCTGAGGGCTCTTACTACTCTCTACAACCTGAAAGGAGGTTGTAGCCTGGTGGGGATCATTCTCCTAGGTAACAAGTGACAGGTTGAAAGAAAATTACTTAAATTTGCACCAGGGGAGGTTTAGATTGGATATTAGGGAAAACATCTTCACCAAAGGACGTGTCAAGCATTGCAACAGGCTGCCCAGGGAAAGAGTGGAATCACTCTACCATGCCTGGAGGTGTTTAGAAGATGTGGGTGTGGTATTTAGGGACAGGGTGGTGAAATTGAGAGTGCTGGGTAAATGGTTGGAGTCAATGACCTTAGAGATGTTTCCCAATTCTATGATTCTGTCAACTTACCAGTGAACCTAATTACTACTCAGTGATAGACATTGAACTGGTGTCATAGTTCATACCTGTAAAGTGCTTGTAAAGTTCAATATGTGCTGTACAAGTTGTGACAAGGGCTTGTGTTCTGGCCCAGTTTGTACATTGATAGTGTGGAAACTGCTCTGATCTGCTGAGACAAGACTTTGATTGCAAAAAAACTACTGAAGAAAGGGCAAGATGAGATTACAGAAGAAAGTTACTAAAGAAGAAATGTGGAGGTGGGAGCAATGATGCAGAAAGTGAGTACAGGTGAGATCTAGGGGTAAGAGTGAATAAGCCATGTGAGGACTCTGTAAGAGCTCAGGGAATCTGGAAAAGAAAGGAAGGAAACAATTGAATACAAAGTAGAGGAAAAATGAAAAATTACACTAGAAACACTTTTCAAAATGGTTCTGTGCACTCTAACTTCAAGCAGCAGGGTGCAGTCCATTGTGTGATGATGAAACAGACTCCAAATCTATTGACAGGATAGGACCAAAGAGCTGACTGAAGTCTTGCATATTCCCCTTTCTTCCTTTGTGTTTTCTTCTGATCTTGAAAGAAGCAGCACTTGCTAGATCACAATGACCCTGATAAATGCAGCAGCATCTTGCTCATGGATCGTGTACCATGTTATCCAATATGCTGGGTAGTACAGGTACCTCTCCTACCACTGCCAGGAGCTGTTGTGGGCTCTGAGCCCTTCCCAGAGCTCTGATGTGCAGTTTTGTGTTGGGTATCCTGAGTTCAGCTCCTGTCAGTGCTGTGTTACAGACAGTAGAGAATTTGTGCATTTCAGAAAATAAAAAAGTACCCTGAGCTGAATTACCTACTAAAAGACACATTAGATGCTGTTCAGTGAAGGGTATTTGACTAAGGGAAAGAATAGAATAACTCAGGAAAACTGCAACTGCCATGAAACAGGACAGCACAGAAAGGGAACACAGCTGAGAAAGTAGTTACTGTTGTAAGAATCAGAAAAGCTTTTTGCCTATTGAGAGGGAAAGAGTTGAGAAAAAAGAGGAAATTGTGTGAACTTGAATGTAATCAAAGGATGAGGTTGCCTGAGTTAGCCTTTGTTTGGCTATGTGCAGAGTAAGAAGAATCTTAAGATGCTTATTTTTTGTGGTAAAAATACTGGTGTGTTTCTTGAAAAGACCCCTGTAAAATTAAGTTTATGCTGTCTCCAGATGAAGATTGTTTCCAAATGGTGCAAAGAGAAAAAACAGACTTTGAGTTATTTTCCAGTCATAGGTGCTTACCCTGATAATTCACCTTCAGGTAGGGTGTGTTTACTTGAAAAGGGTGATTTCCTGAGCTTGCATATGGAGCCTTTTAGGTAGGCTTGGAGGAAGTCAATGTTAAGCTGGAAAAAAGGTTGGGTTTGAGAGGGTTTTTTTCCCTTTACACTAAAAGAGGAATGAAATATGTGCTTGACTCATTGAAGTTGCAATTATACGTGTGATAAGACTAGTGAATTAGTTTTAAAACGACTTTTTTTATTTGTGCAGTGCTGTGATAACTAAAATAGCTGCTGTTGCAGACTGCCTCCTCTGTATAGGCTTTGTTTGTGAACTGATGGGCATTTAGCTCTGTCACAGATGTGTGAGGGCTGTTCCCCTCCACGTGTGGCATCCCTGCAGGTGGAGAGCCAGCCAGAAAATCTCCTGGAATTACAGAAACTTGCCTGTTGTTTGCAGAAATGGTAAGAGAACATTTTTGCATCCAAATGCCAACCTTATATAATTCCACATTTGTATGTGAAAGTAACTGCTGAAAGCATAAAGTGGCTCTGGTTTATGTAAATTCTCTATCTTGTTGCTTCCTGTGTAATCCACAGCCTTAAAATGGCATTAATCCAGCTTTGGCAATGGATGAAATACTATGTGGAGTAAGAATCGGCTCAATTCTATAAAAAACTCTTGCTCCACAAGGACTTGAAGCATAAAATTTCAATTGTTCATGTGATGCTGTCATTATACTCCTTAGTTTTTTACCATCGCTGCCCATTAGTTAATTCAGCTTTATTTGAAGCCTATTTTATAGAGGTTAAATACTTGCTGTGTGGATATCTCATATGAGTGAGAGTATAAAGAGAAGTTAAATGTCAAATTGCAATCAAAAATTCTGGGATTTAGAGATTTTGTCTTTCCATCTGTAGATTAGCTACAGTTTCATTAAGGCTGAAGAAATATTCTAAATTAAATAACAAAGAAATATGTGCTTGTCTTTGCCCTTGAACATCAGTAAAGGATTGTATTTATTTGCTCATTCCTAAACTGACAGCAAATTCCAAGACTATATTGTTACTTATGAGATGTATATGTATAGCATCAGAATAGTTGATTTTTTAATACACCTCAAACTAGAAAATTTTCTGTGTGTGTATTATTTGGGTTGTCTGTTTACAATATTACTGTCAGTACTTCAGTTATTAGCACAGATTTAGAGCAATTTCTGGAGGAAGTCTTACAGCTTGCTGACAGTAAATACAGGTTTCTAGCTATGCTTTGTTAATAAAATTAGGCTGCTTCTTAGGGGCTTTGGGGTGCTTTTTTCAGATTTTAAGTTTTAAATGCTAGTTTGAATAGACTGTAGTTGTTGAATTTCATGAGGTTTGCACAGGCTCAGCTCTCAAGCCTGGTAAGATACATCTCCCTTAACTCTTTGGAGTTCTTACCATATTTTTATGAGCTGGAATCTTGCTTTAATTGTATAAAATACGCAAGAGTGAGCAATCAATAGCCTTCCTTAGGACATAGTAATGGTAGATATTTGAGAATCAACAGAGAGGAAATACAAAATCTGTAACAATCCTAGCAAGTCACAGCTAAAACAAATAATGAGGCAGGTATCCACTAAAACGTCTAAACATTTGGCAACAACTGATGTCAGACAATATGTTTTGTTATTGCTCATTACTTCTGTTTATATCACTAAAGTGTATTTATTAATGTGCATTGGC